CTAGGATCACACTAATCCAGCACGTTATTATTCTGAGTTGCCCCACTCAAGCGGCGGCCATATTGAGTGGGGCACGTGAGATTAATAACGTGCTGGATTAGTGTGATACTAGTTCATTTTATTACTTCATTGCTGTGCTGTATGTGTATAGGCCAATGTAGTTGGATCTGTATGTGCGTTATATTTAATCAAAATTAATCGATTAAAAAGAATTTAGATTAATCAAACACGAACATTTTAGATTTCTCATAAGGAATCTTGTGAGTGGTTTTAATTTTTCTAAATAAAGCGCTTTTTAAACATAATACACGATGATCTTTTCATGTTTTTGGAACAACTGGGGAGGTGCAGATTTCTGGCTGTTGGGGAGGGAAGTATCGGAAGAGGACGAAAGAGGATAGATCGGAGGATGCTACTACACTGGCTGTTTTGACCGTCCTGAAAATACGGTCTTACTTTGTGGTGAGTGAGGATCTTTACATGATTTGGACTGGTGGATTTTTGGATAATATCCTAATTGAGGGTGATGAAAGAACAGAATTTTAAGAGTGTTTTGTCACATGGGCTTGATCAGACATTTTCAATTGAACGGATGATATTTTAACACTTGTGGACAATTATCTTTAATTTAACACAGTTGAAAGACATTTGCTGCATTTAATCTATGTATATTTTTCCTGCATTGTTTTGGATATGTAAGTTTTTTGGTTCATCTTTTGGCACAATTGATTGCTGCGCAATGCAAAAAGTATAAACACCACAACATGGCAGCATACACGATATGCTTCTATGTTGGTACCGGGATAAAAGTATGTTAAGGCACTTCCAAGAAAAAAATCAGTGGCAAGTCATAACAGGCAGGGATACAGGACTACTAAGAGCGAAAATGTGTGAGATTTCAATTGGGATCTAAGTTGGTAAATATTAAATATTAAAATAAGCTCACTAGGAAAAAGCATATGCTGGATGCTCTGTGTGTTCTTTGCAGGCTTCGTCAATATTTGGTATCTTATATTCCTCAATTTTAGCATCGCTATGTTCCATAAAACACTTGTTCCTTTCTGACTCCTCTTTGGGACAACACTCTTTAGTCCAGGGGTAAAGCTCCTCTACTTCTGCCTCTTTGCAAACTATGTCATGATACAATGTCATCTGTAAAAGCAAGAGACACACACAATTAAAGAATGCAGGTTAACACACACAGGCAGTTGAGTATTATTTAATAAACATTGGCCCAGGGTGAATGATAGATGGGGTAGCTAACTGGGCCGTTCCTGAAGGCACACACTCTCTTTAACAAACCTGTGTCCAAATCAGCCAAATAGAAATCTCTGCCCTAATAAAAATAAAGTTCCGGTACCTTAAAAGACAAAGGACCCACATGTCTCCTTATAGGAATGTATAAAGTGGTACAACCACAATATACTGCATATGGCACCATGCTGGAATCCTCTGGGACAGTTAAGTCGGGGCTATCAATGACACATTCCTTGCTTTATAAATACACCCCTAACAGTCCAGTGATGTAACAGGTTCCTTTCTAACAGCACAAGTTAAGGAAACGGAGCAAGTGGGGCAGCAGTTAACGCTGAGAGTGAACTTAAAGGAGAACAATGGTCAGGGCTTTTCCCCATAGTTCTCCTAAGGGTAACGGGAGGACACAAACTAGCGTCCTCCCATCACCCAAAGCTCAGTATACCGCGAGCTACAGCTCGCGGTATACTGAGACGCCACGGCCGGGACGGATCCCGACATTACTGTCTGGATCCACCGAGCTGCGTGAGTAACAGCTGGCTCTGCCTATCTAGATGCAGAGCCAGCTGTACCCGCCCCCTCCCCTGTCCGTTCCGCCAGTCAGCGCTGGAGGATCAGACAGAGGAGGAATCCCTGCAGGGAGCCATGAGTGACAGTCTTTAGCAAAACTAAAAAAAAAAACGTTTGGACTTTTGATAAACCTTAAGAATCTTCCTAAGCTTGCTGCCTCCATAGAGCTCAGTAGCATCATGCAAGCTGACTGCATAAGCCTAAAGAACCTCAATCTCTAAAAGGAAGGATGCAAGTGCTATGCACGTTATACTGGAAAAAAAAACCTTAAAAAGCATACCCCTGGTTTTTTACAATCAGCTTCTTCTGGATGCTCTATGCAGTGATCAACAACCTCCAAAATTTTTGCTCGGAGTTTTAGCTGTTCGTCCAGAGCGCATTGTTGGAAATTCTGTGCCAACATCACCAACAATCTGTAAGACATGACAGCATAGTAAGTAAATAAATAAATATTCTTATCATTGTGTTGTAGCATCTGTATCATTTATCTTAACTGTAGGAATGCACCAATGCCGGTACTGAGTATTTGGGCGAGTACTCGCCCAAATGCTCCGATACTAACCCCCGATACCGGAACTTCCGGTCAGAGGGAGATTTCCTCTGACCAGCAGTGCCACAAGAGAACATAGAGCCTACTTCCCAGCCAATCAAGAAGCCAAGCGGCGGGAAACTACTTGCAGTAAAGCCGGCTAATCAGCTCTGTGCTGATTGGACGGGAAGACAGATCCATGCTAGTGGGAGTACTGTTATTGGTACCCTGTATCGGCAAGTGCTGAAATACAAATATCGGTACTCATACTCTATACTGAAAAACCGGTATCTGTGCATCCGTACTAAACTGTGATATATCATCAGAACATATCACAGATCAGGGGCCATTCATGGAAGTACTAAGATAAAGACACTTTGCATTCTTTCTGAAACATCTAAGTATAACTACATTGGTTACCATCATCCAGACACCAGTTAACCTTACACTATCAGAAAGATAATGAAAATCACTGACCTTGAACTTGGCTGTATTCAGTTAGTGTTAACTACTTAGAAAGCCCCTGGGTTATGTCTTCCTGTGTGTAAGGAGCTGCCTGGTGGTAAATATGGCCCTTTCATACTTGGGCATATTTAGCTGTTCAAAGTTGGCATCAAATGCATGTGTTACTATGGCTGGATAATGGAAATTAGTTGTCACCTCCATTTTCCTGCATCTCTTCTACCAATATGACAGATATGACTAATTAATAGCTCAGTTAATAGCTGACACTAAACTCAGGAGTTAAATCTTAAAAATGCATTCAAGTACCTTAACTATTAACAAAAATGTTTCTTATTTGTGTATCAATCAGCTGTAGATCCTCCAATCATCTCTGAAAGGTGCTGGCACTGTCCTTCCGACTGGAAGGAATACCATCTCAAAAAAAATTAGTAAACTAAATGTGAGATTGTAGAAGTTAGGAAGCAGCTGTCATTTGTAAGGAGCACACGGAGCTCCTGGGATTTGTACATCTCTGTTTTAATGTATGATTTTGTTTTTATAGTGAGGCACCGATATCATTTTTGCAAGTACAAGTACTGATACTTGCCCAAGTACTCACAGATACAAGTACTGATACATTTTTGTTTATTGTCATGTGAAAGTTTTTCTAAAACAATACAGAATAATGATTTCAGGACAGTGGTGGAGCACCAGAGCCATGTCCCTGCTGCAACCGCTGCAACCATGGTAGTTCTCATGACAATGTCAAGTATGGCACTGGTATCTGAACTGGTATCTAGACATTCCTACTATTACTGAAAGCTTTTTATGCATTATCTGTTTTGTTCCTTGTGTTTGCTTTTTGTAGAGCTACAGGAGATGACTACACTTTTGAAAGGGGAATAATTATGATGATATTACCATACCTCCACAGCCCCCTCATTTTATCAATATCTGCTTCCATAAACTCATGTCAGGTATCATGTAGCTTTTCTTAACACAACTGTAACTAACTTTTTTAAGACTACTGTAACTGCCTGGTATTTTTCCTCAAAGAATACTATGCTTTATGTGATTGGAGGAGCAGGGGACTGGTGGAGATGTGACATCCTCTATCCTCCTATCACAGAATTCCTAATGTTCTTTGAGAAAAATAGAATGCATAATGTGAAAGGGCAAGTAGTGTGGACGGGTGCACATGCTGCAAAGTAAGATTGCAGTGGTCCTCCACACATAACATGCAGCTTTTTAATGATAATTTACACGCCCAGTGCGGTGTGTTAATTATCATTTTTTTACCCAGAGTGTAGTTTTAAATAAGACAAATGTTTAGCATGCAATGTTGATATATTAAATATTGATTATAATATGGTATTCCTATTTTCTGCCCTATAAATATGGCCAGTTAGAATATTTGTTTCTACTAGAACATTAACTCACTAACGCCTTTCTTTGCTACAATTGTTATAATTCAACTTTATTTAGACATATGAATTAGGCAATAAAAAGAATAACAAGACAGTGAAAAAAGGGTACTACACCCTAGCAACAAATTAGAAATGATGATTTAACTGGGCTCACTGCAATAATCTGAGATCTGATTGGTTACTGTAGGCTATGGCGTTTCTAAAAATCCCAATTTTTCTTTGCACTGTTATAATGACCACACCTTAATATTTTAAAAGCATTTTTTTCTAGCAGTTTGTATTTTTTCCAATTTTGGAAGGCTTACAGGAGAATATAAACACATTATATTATTAGAATACTTACAACTTTTCAACAGTTGATTTTCCTACTTGCTTTACGATATCGTCAATATGCCGATGATGATGTTCTAAAAAAAAAATAGATAAAAAAGGTAATAAATACGAAACAGTCTAACGCATTTTTCTTTTGGATAAAGTAGGGAAAGGCTGCACGCTGTATCAGGACATTAACGCTGCTATTATGTCCTTGTTGGGGAGATTTATCCCTCACTTCCTGTTTACATTATAGTTATCCCTAGACCAGGTGGTAAGGGGACACATGTTTCAGTTGAGGGTACCTGTAAGATGATTAGTCTCTGTAAAATGGGCACTCTGCCATCTTTACAGCAGAGAACAGGAAGATGGAAAGGACAGATCAATATATTGTATTCCCCTCTATTATGGCCCAAAGAACACATATGTTTGATACACAGCTTTTATGTGTGACTGACAGACTTACTCTTCCCTGGCTAGAAAAAGAGAAGAACCAGATGGGAAAACACTCAAGCATACTAAATGCATTCATAAAGATTGCTGCTCTATATTTCACTCTTACCATGATCTCGCTTCTGTAGGTGTCTTGACTCAGTTACTATGGTGAAAATCAACAGACAAACCAGAGTGACAAACTTCATGGTTGCAAATGTTTTATGGAGGATCTTTTGGAAGCCTAAATCAGCTAAGGAAAAGGCAGATATTTATACCATTTTCTGCATCCTATTTAGAAATAATTAACCACACTGGCTTTATAATTAATTTAAATTTGGCTCGTCTTTAGAAACATGTGTGATGGGTAAACACAATATTGAGTCAATTGTAAAACGGGCTTGAATTGGCACCAAATGTTTTGAAAGACCTTGTAGATCAGATATAATTTCACTGATAAAAGGCTTTGGTGATGAGGCTGTGAAACTATGAACAAAAGGTTAAGCAAATTGATTCTTGCTTATGACAGTATTACAGTCTGCGTCTGTAGCCTGATTTCCAAATGCGTGTAAAGGTCAAATAATGAGACACTAAAATATAGTATTCGCATTCCCAGGGGATAAACACACTTACAGTAATTTGAATATTCACCCCTTTGAACATTTATACATATTTTACTTTTACATTCTTAAACCAAAATTATTATTATTATTATTCAGGATTTATGTAGCACCAACAGTTTGTGCAGCTCTTTACAATCTAAATGGATTTAGTTAGACTTTAACAATTTTAAAGGCTTGCCACAGATTCTCAATTGAATTGATATGCAGGCTTTGACTTGGCCATTCTAAGCCATTCAGGTTCTTGGTTTTAAACCACATCAGTGTAGCTTTGGCTCTGCATTTAAGGTCAATGCGCTGACGGTGAACGTGTACCTTTGCCGAGTCTCTTTAGTCCTCAAAGACTCTTTAGTCTTTGAGGACTGAAACAGGTTTTCCCCTAGAAATTGTAGCACGTGATGCTACAATAACCATATTTCACTATTTGTTGATGCTCTCAGGTTGCTGGGCAGTGTTGGTTTTCCTGAGAGATATACACTGTATGAGGGCTAACGTTGCATACCTCTTTCTAAAATTGCAGTTTCTTGTCAATTCTGCTAAACTATTAGTTTGATACCCAAGCCAAGTATGTATATCAGGAAGGTCCAAGAAAAGTCAGAAGTCCTTATTTGTATACTTGCTCTTGGTTAGTGACTTAATGTGATGAAGCAAGAGGGTGAGCATGTGTATGGCTATGCCACACACTTTAAGTGGTACCAGGACCTTGGTTGACATCAGGGCAGGGGGAAGGGAGCAGCTGCATTGCTTTAGCATGCAAACCCTCTGACAATAATATAAACTCTGGCTTCTGTACAGCAAGGGAGTGAAATTAAGAAATAATGGTACAATGACAAATTGGTATGTGAGTACATTTACCTGCTATGTTTAACTTTATGTGCATGTGACGGTGACAGGTTATCTTTAAGGTAGGGTTTTTTTTAATAACCAAACTCTGACTGGAGTCTAGACTTGTTTCGATAACTCATTGCTCTTCATGATGCTGTTTGTTAAGATACATTCTCTACATTCTGGAACTTTACGGAAACAGGTGTTTTAAGACCACGTAACACTTCATTTGCACACAGAGGATCTTCATTTATTTAAAATAGAATGATGGCCTCCCATTGAAATAAATATTTACTGCAGCATATAATCAATAGGGGATCCGCACTTACGCGGAATCAAATGTCTGTTGATCCGGCCAGTGAAGTCCACCCAGCGAAGCTTCTCAGTGATACTGAAGCAATGATGCTGCACTGCTCCTGAGTTCAGAAGAGGGTTGCCACTCTGATGGATGTAGGCTGTGCCTGCTTGTACTAAAGTGAAATAGAAAAAAAATTGCAGGGGGCGTTATCAGAATTCTCACTGCTGATTCACAAGAATGTAGCTTGCCATTCAGCACCTGGCCATACCTTATGCTGCTAATTGATTTCTGGATAGACAGCACTATCTCTGAAACCCACCCACTGTGAGCTGCAGTTTTTAGAAGGGGAGCATGTAAGAGATAATTGAAGGAGGATTTAGTTTAGTCAGGGAAGGTAATGGAAGTTTTTTGAAACCTCCCCTGACTGAGCCAAGGCTTGTGCATTGCATAGTAACTGGATTTGGTTCTTGTTTAGGCTATCATGCAGAAGCCTTTGGTTGCACTTTAATTATGTGATTTTCAAAAGGCAGCTTTTTGCTCCACAACTTGCATGAATAGTCACAGCAAGGGTGGTGACTATTCATACAAGACATTATAGTTTTTTTGACATCAGCTCAGTGAGTTAAAATTCTAATTCAACACTAGAAAATGTGGAAAGTATTTTCAAATATATATGTATGTTAAACATGTGTAGCCCTCTTTTACACCCTTCTTGTACGATGTCTCAGTGAGAAGATATTGGGTTACTGACAAGCGACTTCAGTCCTTCACTGTGCAGCTGCCCTGTGTTCTGTATCTGCATACTGCGGACAGAGATCCACCTTCATGTGTTCATGTGGCCAAAAAGATTCCCCCACTCTGCTTCTTCTTTTATATACATTCTGGAACGGGACTTCCAAAAACAACATGCAAGGAGCAGGCTCATGACATAATCAATCATAGCAGCCAGAGTACAACAACATAAAAGCTTATGCACATGGGCAGCTGAGCCTGTGCAATCTACATTCCAGTGTATTTCCCCCCACCAGGGAGCCACAGGTGCTTCGTACAGCCTCCCATAGAATTCAGTGTCTGTACACGGGTATATATTAGTAGTTGCCTATGGCCCCGTATGTGTATGGACGAAGAAAACTTGTGTCCAGGTGTACATCCATATTTATACGCGGCTGTATGCAGTACTGGCGCATACCTGCGTACAGCCATTGACTTCCATGGGGGGGCTGTACACAGCACCTGTGACTCCTTGGTAGGGAAAAGGTGCAGCATTTACATGTATGGACTCCCATGTGCATGAAGCCCAAAGAATAAGGTTTCCATTTCTCCCCATCTCCCGGGGACAGACCCATTTTGAGGGGTCTGTCCCCTTCAAACAAGCGCCCCCCGTTATGTACTCAATGCAGTACCTACTCATGACCCCTCTACTCCATGCGTTACCTACTCATGAGCCCTGTACTCCATGTATTACCTACTCATGACCCCTGGCCTCCATGCATTATTTGCTCCTGACCTCATTGCTCTATGTGTTACCTACTCCTGACCCCTGCTCTCTCTGTTACATACACCTGATTCCTGCTCTCTACGTCATGCACTCTTGACCCCTGTGTTCTGCATTACACACTCCTCATCCCTGCAGTCTGTTTTACACATGCTTGACCCATAGTAGGCTCAGGGTTTATTTAACCATGTTCCCGCTGTCAATGCAATTTGAATACACACATGGTGCTTGCCGCATTATTATGACGCCATATAGTGCCCAGGGGAATTTACATCATCAATGTCTGCTTCTTCTTCCACAGGTCCGTTAAAATTGTTTTAGAGCATGCTAAAAATGAGGGCATAATTTTGTGGATGTGGCTACTAATGGGGTGTGGCTTATGTGTATGGTCAAACGTGGGCATGGTCAGTAGGGTGCCCCTGGATTTCATTTTGAAAATCTGGTAACCTTACCTAACAAGTGGCAGAATTTTTTTTTAAATGTACTTTTTTGTCATTAGAGCCAGTCCTCACTTTATAAAAGGTTGGGTTCCCTGCAGTCATATGTCATTGTGTGTTGGCGTAGTTTATATAGAGCTGACAGTCTGTGTAGGGAAAGTTAGTTACTATGCACTGCTGTATTGTGCTACATTATTGTGCAACATTATTGTGCAGTGGGCTACATATCATTGTTGTACAGTCCTTTTTAGGACTACCTTTTTGTGTGTGTCAGCAACAACTGTATTTGCTGTTTAGCTTCTGGGCCCCCTTGCAGTCATTTTATTTTTTATTTCTATTTTACATTTCTATTTTCTATTTTCACATTACATAGGGGTCTATTCACTAAGCTGCCAAGGGCAGCCGAGTGAATGACCGATCTGAAGTGAAGTGAGCCAAACACTGTTCGGCTATTCACTTCAGGCTGGTACGGCTGATTTCAGCCGTACATTGGCTGAAATAAACAA